AAGATGCTGTCTTTCAGTTGTGAAATAAAGCAAAAGGGAAGTTTTTGGTGAATTAAAAAAGAAAAAAGAAGCAAACAAAAACTCTTGGGCACTTGAGGATAGGTTCCTATATACCTTGATATCCATACCACCCAAGTCAAAAGCCATGATCTAATTTTAGAGGGGAAAAAAAAAGATACAGAAATACAACCTGTTGGTTGTTAGTTGATGTTGAGTCAATACTGACTGATGGCGACCCCACATCTGTAGAGTAGAACTGCTCCTTGGGATTTTCAAGGCTGTGATGACCTTCTGGAAGTAAATTACCTCCACCTTTTGGCTAGTAGTTGAGAACTTAACCATCTGTAACACCCAAGGACTCCAGTCTAGACCAGAGTTTAATTCTCTGCTTTGTCTTCCCCATTCTTCAGACCCAGAAACTATCCAAAGAACTTTTGCATCAAGGAGAAACACTTACCAGAGATGACCCCAACTGTGATGTACATGTGGTAAACAGCTTGTGAAAAGGAGGCGATCACCATTCCTGTGGTGACAAGCAGCCCTCCAACTATCACCACCAGCCGGTGTCCAAAACGGTTGCTCAGGACTGTGGTGAGGGGAGCTGCATTAAAAGAACATAAAGTAGTAGGTTAATTCATAAAGACTGCAGCATTAGCCTTCATAAACTTTCTTCTTTCAAGTCCTTTACACTGGAGGCAGTGTAATAGAGAATGCATTTTATGCAGTGGTTATTTAAGTCAGTTGAGGAATTAATTTAGTATTTCTTCCAACTGGACAGTATTTTCTAGGCTCATAGAAAGCCAGAGTAACTGTGTAAAACTTATAGCTATCCTTTTAGATGAAAGATTTCGACTTACCATGAAGTGCCTACAAAATTGGGTATGCATTTAATTTATGTTACTCTGTGATAACAATTGGTTTTACTATGAATAAGTTGGTTTACTGTGGAAACACTGGTTCACTATGAATTTACTATGATGCAAAAGCGATGCCTTGAATTGTTTTCTTTCTATACTTACTGCTTTCTATTCTTTTTACAAAGCTCTGTTTAGGGTCAAATTCTAGCTTAGTTTCACTGGCAACTTCTGAAAATGAATATGGTCATTCCCGTTACACCTAAAGGATAACAGCCATGGCATAGATACCTTCAAGCGGCTGGTGAATCATACTTAGCTCAGTGCTCGACTCCATAATGCTTTGCTGTCGTTGTCTGCTGTTGAGTGGGCCCCTGACTCATTGTGACCCCATGCAAACAGAAGGAAACACTGCCTGGTCCTGCATCCTCCTCCCTATCAGCTGCAGATTGGACCACGGTGAGCCACAGGGTTTGTACTGGCGGATTGTCATGAACGGGTCCCCAGGCCTGCGTTCCTCGTCCACCTTGGTCTAGAAGCTCTGCTGATACCTCGTCAGCATCACAGCAAGAAGCCAGCCTCTGTGGAGGCAGGGGTAGGAGCTGTGTGTCAGGGGCACTGGCTGGGACTCGAACTCAGGTCTCCCACATGGAACGCGAGACTTGGACCACCAATGCCGGAGGCCTAGACATTTTAATCTGACACATGTGTTTTCCAGTGACATGTTACTTAAGCTAACATGGATACTGACATAAATATACTCAGATATGTGACCAGTTGAGAGCTGAGCAAACAGAGCATGCTGGGTACAGTTCAAATCCTATTCATGGTGACACGTGTGAAGGGGCAGGAAAAAAAGGTTACATTTAGCTGGGGTCAGTCCATATGGACTATTATGTCTGTTAGTAGAATATCGAATATAGCTTAATATTGAAACTAATATTGAATATAGCTCATAATGAAATCATCATGATTTTCAAGCA